TTTAACAGAATCTATTTGTGTTAGAGAATAACCAATCCAACTTTTGTTCAAACTGGCCCCAGTACAATATGCAGTCAGAAATAGCAACGTGACACATGAAAACTGCACCCATCTGTCCCCTGTCCATACGTCTTCAGCTCTAAAATTAGATCTCAGCGAATCTTGTGCACGTTCACTCTCTGAACCGGGGTCTCATCTGAGCCGGAATGAAATATGTCACATCTCATTCATAAAAGACATGATTAAAACAGACAATCAGTTATGTTGGGAAATAATACGCTCCCCTAGGCCCAAAAACTGTTTTATTTTGAGAGCCTGAATACACAAAAAGACAACAGCCAGACCATATATGACAATAAAAATCTGACCCACAACCTTGCAGCAACGAAGCCAAAAAGCCAAACCACAGCCTCGGCAACAATCAGCCCAGAAAGGTCTGAAGTTGGTCCACGACTGCCAGCTGCCCTTTTTACAGCCTCTGCTTCCAATTCAAGGTCAACCAGAAAAAAGCCAAATATGCCCCCCAGATCCGTCACATAAGATGCTCACTGCTAGGGAGCCTACCTGCAGCTTCCCCACGGCAACAATCGGAGCAGACCTGAGCCTCCCTGTTTCCATGAAAAACTTCCCCCCTTCCCTGTCTGCCCTTGAGTCTCTGCCACACGCCAGTGATGGCGACTGACCCCCTTGCCATACAGCAAGCTCTGGATAAACAGGCTCTGTGTGTCCTCATTTAGGTGATCTTCGTTTACTGCCATAATTTCAGTGCAGTCTTCTCTGGCCATAAAGTACAGCGTACGAAATAATAGTCATCTATACTCAATATCTTGTAATTACCTATAACGGAAAAGAATCTGAAAAAGAATATATACATATATATGCATGTATGTATGTGTAAATGAATCACTTTGCTGTACACCTGAAACTAACACAACATTGTAAATTAACTACACTCCAGTAAAAGAAATGAGAACTTTATCCTCGTATAAGAATGCAATTGATAGTTATATACTGGTTTTTTAAACCAAATTTATTGTCGTATCATTTACACGTGAATAAAGTTTCTGTAAGCAAACAAACAAAAAGAAATGAAAGTCCTGGGCTTCCCTGGTGACGCAGTGGTTGAGAGTCCCCCTGCCGATGCAGGGGACGCGGGTTCGTGCCCCGGTCCGGGAAGATCCCACATGCCGCGGAGCAGCTGGGCCCGTGAGCCATGGCCGCTGAGCCTGCGCGTCCGGAGCCTGTGCTCCGCAACGGGAGAGGCCACAATAGTGACAGGCCCGCGTACCACAAAAAAAAAAAAAAAAAAAAGAAATGAAAGTCCTATCTAGGAAGGCACAAAGACAAGTAACTCTAGATGCTGACCCAGAAAGATTCGAGAGGTAAAGCTCAGTCCCCACCTACACAAGCAGAACAGCCGAAAAGAGTGTTTTTAAAAGGGAGTTCTCAACTCCTGCATGCACACCCACACCCCAGTCCCACCGCTTCCCCACTGCACAACTTCAGGCAGGTAACCCCTAAGCTCTCTGAGTCTCAGTTTCCACATTCATAAAATGGGCATGAATACTTTGTACAGTGCCCGTGATAATACAATGAGAGATACAACTTGAGCCTGGCACAGTATACATAATTATTAAAAAGCATGAATTCATAGCATCGATTGCATATATCTGGAGAAAACCATAATTCAAAAAGATACATGCACCCCAATGTTCATTGCAGCACTATTTACAATAGCCAGGACATGGAAGACGAACGGATGAAGAAGGTGTGGTACATATATAAAATGGAATATTACTCAGCCATAAAAAAGAATGAAATAATGCCATTTGCAGCAACACGGATGGACCTAGAGATGATCATAACTAAGTGAAGTCAGTCAGACAGAGAAAGACAAATATCATATCACTTATATGTGGAACCCGAAAAAATGGTACAAATGAACTTATTTACAAAACAGAGATAGAGTCACAGATGTAGAAAACAAACTTATGGTTACCAGGGCGGAAAGGGGAGGTGATAAACTGGGAGATTGGGATTGACATATACACACTACTATATATAAAATATTAATAGATAACTAATAAACACCTACTGTATAGCACAGGGAACTCTTCTCAATACTCTGTAATGGCCTATATGGGAAAAGAATCTAAAAAAGAGTGGATATATGTATATGTATAACTGATTCACTTTGTTGTACAGCAGAAACTAACACAACATTGTAAATCAACTATACTCCAATAAAAAAATTTGTTAAACAGTATCAATTAACACATAATAGTATGAATAACAGCATCAATTATAGTAAATAATAGTATCAATTAACACTTTCTGAACATCTACAGGATGCCAGGCACCCTTCTAATTGCTTTACATGAAGCAACTAATTCACTAAATAATGCCAGTGATGATGGAGGGGATGTTTCATTTCCTTCTATCTCCCTGACACACAGTGAATGAGTCGGTGATGCCTGCCTCCATAGATTAGAATCTAGCCCCTCTTCTAAGCGTTGCATCCCCCTTTTTTCAACACTATATCAGGAGTTCTTAAATGCTCACAGGAGCCAGATAAGTGAGTGCAATGGGCCAGGTGTGGGACAATAGGGTGTAGTGGGGACTGGGGTGAACTAAGCGATGCATGATCCATCTAAAGGGGAAAGCCACTCCCTAACTACAGCCAACTGTTGCCAAGTTACCAAATCTTCAACACTTTCCAAGTAAATGACACTTGAGATCTCCCTATTATTAGAGGTTGGCAACTCTTTTAAATATTTTAAGGGTTGCCATATGAGCTTTAAAAAGAAAAAAAAAAAAAAACCAGCATACATCTGTGGCCTAGATTTGCTATGACCACCAGTTTGCAAACTCTAGGCTAGATGTTCTTCCTCTGGGACAGTCCCAAGGCCCCACAACTAAAGGCCCTGTGGCTACTATTTCCTGGAGACTGACAATTCACGATTTGACCTCTCAAGGGAAAGTCAGTGTTACATTAACTTCTGTGGGAAAGAAAACACTTGAGGGGTTTCTACTCACCATGAAGATAACACTTCAGGAGCCTCTACACTGTGGATGCTGGAGCCTCTTCTGGTCTCGGCAGCCTCTCCCTCCCTAAACTGACCCTCAGCTCTGGCATGACTGAGCCACATGCAGCCTGCGGGGGCGGCAGCTGCCCCCTCCTGTCTTCGAAAGGCAGTGGGCCATGGGGGTGAAGGGCACAGGCTCTAGAGCCAGGCCACCGGGATTCACACTCACTGCTCCCTAGCTGTGTGACCTTGGGCAAGCTACTTAACCTCTCTGTGCCTCGGAAAAATGGGGATGATAGCCGTACCTGCCTCCTTGAGTTGCTTGTTGTCAGAATTCAGTGAGTTAAGGCAGGTAAACAACTTGGAATGTGGCCTGGACCATTCTACGTCCTCAGTCAGTTAGCTAGTACTGTTTATGACATTCCCCCGTCCTGAAATGCCTTTCCCAGCCAGGCTCCCAGACTTCCCCGACCACCAGGCCACCTGCTCTCCCTTTCCTCAAACTTATCACCCAACAACATTCTCTCTACATCACGGATGGCAAGTTCAGTCTTACGTGTCATACTCTCTACCTCACACGAATTGGTAGGGGCTGCCTGGAGTTCTGAGCTCAGTGCAGTAGATTAGTAATGTCTGCCACAGCAGAGGGAGTGCTGAGGTGCTGCAATTGACTGGTCATGTCTGCCTTGGGAGAGGGAAGGGCAGGAAAGCAGAAACCATCCCCTGGCCATCCTTGGTCTACAGTGAGCAGCTTGCACTGCCTTGCATTGGAAGAATCTCTGCAGAGCAAGAACTGGGTTTTAGACCACCCAGCCCCACCAGTGGAGTGACTAGCACAGGGCTGGGTCCACACCAATTTCTGAATCAGTTTTACCACCAAGACTAACTCAAGGGGCTCCGAATAGGAAGCCCGCTTCCTGCGGGCTACTAAACCCACCTGGGATCTGCCAGAGCCTCGGGATCCTGTTGCCAGGCTCTGAACGAGCGCACCTCCAAACAGACGTGATCTGGTACATCGGCCTCCGTCAGAATCAGAAGGACCATACTGGACTCACGATTAAATCTTATTTTTCCTCACCTGCACCCAGCAAAACAAAGCCCCACGTGCATTGCAGTTTATATGTCTACCAGCTCGGCGTCTGAGGACCAGGAAACACCAGAGCCTAAATTCAGTGGAGACCCCTCATGTGCCAGGCACTATTCTAAGAACTTTGTTAACTTGTGTAATCCGCACAACAACCCTGGGAGATAGATCCCATCATTATCCCCATCCTACCAAAGAGGAAGCTGAGGGCCAGAGAGGTTAGGTGACTTGCCCCAGGACACACAGCCGGTATGCAGCAGAGCTACTGCTGCTTCCTACTGCTACCCAGGAACCTATGTGAGCAAAATAAGCTAAAGACAGGTTTGTCCCCCTAGCGCAGAGAAGTTCCTCACTTTCTGCAATCCTAAAACCAAGTCTTTGTCATACAGATAGAGACAGCTGCTTTGCTTTGACAAAGGATTCTTTACTGATGAAAAGCTGCAAGGTGGGAAACACTGTCTCAGAAAGCTCCTTCGTGGAGTTAGAAATTGGAATTCATTTACAAGGTGTCCACTTCCGGGCATTATGGGATTCTGCCTGGCACATCAAGGGGGCAGTAAGAGGTCCAGACTATCACGTGAGAGCCTGAAGGGGACAAACTTGGACCTCACAGCCCGAATTGCTGCTCTCAACGCAGAGGTTTTAATCCTGGCTTCACACCAGAATTATACTTAGGGGGTGCTTAGAACACAGGGATGCCCAGGGCCCACCCCCGAATACTCTGCTTTACAGTGTCTGGTGTGTTGTTTTGCTGGGTCTTATTTTATGTTTGTAAGTTTCCTCACGATGCTGGATCCTCAGCAAAGCATCAACAGCCACTCGATAGACTAACAGCTCACTGACGATCAAGAGTTGGTTTCCATCCCACCCAACCCCGCAAAGCCTCTCACCTGAGAGTGAAGTGGTCAGCCACAGAGCCACTGGCCAGAGAGACCAAAAAGGTGGCGGTGTCCCCTTCCCGGACGAGGTTCAGAGGTACGGAGAGAACGACGTTCTCATCCAGGCTCAGCAGGGACCACTTGAGATCGTCCTGGGTCGGGTAGACCACGACACTCCCGATCCTCTCCCGGGCAGCTGGCGCCGGCGGGGGGCTGTCCTGGCCCGAGTGTATGTTGTTCTCCCACTTGCTGTCCTCCTCCAGGGGACACTGGCCGGCCTGGTCGGCCGGGTACAGCGTGAAGAAGAGCTCCATGGCCGTGCCGCCCAGCAGGGCTGGGATCTCCTCCTCGGGCTCCAGGTCCAGCCCAGAGCTGAACCACTCGGGCAGCACCTCCAGCTCGGCCACACACAGCCCAGGGGTCCCTTGCAGCCGACAGCTGGCCGCCACTTCCCTGGCCTCCGGGAAAGCAAACATCTTGACGCAGGGGAGCTGTTCCCCTGGGCCGCCGTCGGCCCAGCCCATCCCGGTGATGTAGAACAAGGTCTGCACTTTGGGTCTGTTGGAGTAGATGGAGCTACCGAGGATGTGGGCTTTCAACTTCCAGTTGAAGGGAAACTGGCCCATGTTGCCAAAGGGTGCAGATGTCAGCATGAACTCCCGGGGGACCGTCTTCTCGACTGAAAATGGCCCATAGCTGGCATTGACCATCGGGGGGCTCCTGGCTCGGTAGATAAAGAACGACTCCACCCGGGCCTGCAGACTGCAGTTCCGAGTGACGTCCTGGTTGGCCTCTTTAAGGAAGAAGGACTCCTCTGCGTTAGAGACGTGGAAGCTCGTGGGAAGGTAAGCAGGGAGCGAGGAAAACCTCTGCAGGCTGTCCACGATGGCGCGGCTCTCCGTCACTGCACGAGAAACGGAAGCAGAGGAAGAGTGAGAGCCGAGTCCGGAGAGGTAATGAAATTATCGCAGGGCCGCCTCCACCCATCCACACAACACACCGCCCACCCGAATCCTGGGTCTCCTCGCGGTGAAAGTCCTGTCATTACATAAAGTGTGTTCCGAAATAACCGGGGCAAGGGTGGGAAGGAGCCCCGTGTACCACTGATCCAATCGTCCTGTGACTGAATTACGCCCCCGCCCCCGGAGGGAAAACGTCGCACCCTCTTTTGCTCTTGCAAAGCCCCGAACTCAGAGGATCGTGGTCATCTCTGTTGTAATCACCCCCCAGAGAGTAGGCTGCACACCTACCAAGCCCACCATACAACCAGGCATTGGACCATTGTATATGACGTGTTAATACTTGATTACTTCGATATTTATGCTTCTTCCCATCCCTCCTAGATGTGGTGTCCACGTGGATGTTTAGACATGGCCTAATTCTTTCTGAAGTGAGGGTGAAGCGATGGCTCAGCATTCCCACTTCTAGAAATCTCTCCTTCCGAAACACGAGTGAGAATTCATAAAGCTCTGTTTATCTACAAGGATGTCCACTGCAGCATCCTTTTGAATTGCAGACAAACTTATTTTACGTGCTGGAGCCAGAAGCCTGGATTTGAATCCTGGCTCTGCCACTTCCTAACTGAGCAACCTTGGGCAAGTTACTTAACCTCTCTGTGCCTCAAATGTCCTCATATAAAGTAGGATATAAATATAAATGATTGTAAGGATTAACAAGTTAATAAATATGAAGCGCTTAGAACAGTGCTGACACACATAAATGCTCAATCTTTACCTGCTATCATTATTATTATTTACTAGTTTAAGCCATTCCAAAGGTTTATTATGTTAAGAGGAGACCAGATAAACTATACACTTTTACTATGGGGTAACAGGCAGCTCTGTAAGAAAAATGAAGCAGAGCTGTATCAGCATGTTTGAAAAAATGTCCACAATCTGTCATTAAGCATAAAGAATTATAAATGTATCACATATGATCCTATCTGGGTAATTTTTTAAGATTCTATATGTACATATGTAAATGTACATATATTTATGTTTGGTATCTATAGAATCCAGAAAGGATTTTTGCCTTTTACCACTTATGTTTCTACCTTCTTAAAACTTGTTACGATAATCATGTATTACATTGTTAATTAAAATACATATAAATATACATAAACATATATGTGTGGACATGCGTATATGTATATGTGTGTGTGTGTTTCTTTCAGGTGGGGAAACACAAAGAGCAAAGACCCAGGAAGCTTCTTCAAAGTGAAGACAGCCCACCAGGAACCAGGGTTGGCAAATCAGGCCAAGAACAGACAGGAATTCTTCCCTGCCCTGAAATAAACCTCTACCCCTGGAGGCTGGCTTCCAACCAGAGCAAGAGGAAATAAACCAGGCAGCAGTGTTTACAGCAAAGCATCACCAGAGGATAAAAGGCAAACAAATACTCCATTGACTCAGACTCCTGGTAACATTTTTTCTGCAGCCGTTACAAATTCTGTGAAATACAGTTTTCTGTTGACTTAAATAATTTTGGGCCTTTTCAGGGCTGTCCTTGGTGAGCTTTCCTTTCCTAGTGGACGACAAAATTGTAATTAGGAGATTGTGAAACAGGTACCACCACGAAGGGGCTGACGCATACTTTCTCCAAGAAGGTGTTCAGAAGGCAAGTTCTCTGTGAAATGCTGCACGATCTCACTTACGTGCAGAATCTAAAACAGTCAAATTCGTAGAAGTAGAGAGTAGCATGGTGGCTGCCAGGGGCTGGGGGGAGAGGAAGGGGGGATGTGGGTCAAAGGGTACAAAGTTTCAGTTAAGCAAGATGACCATGTTCTGGAGAGCTAATGTACCGCAATGTGACATAGTTAACAACCCTGTATTGTACATTGTAATTTGCTAAGAGAATGGATTTTAAAATCAATCTTCTCAACACGCACACACACACAGAGTGAAAACTAGGTGGAGGTAATGAATATGTTAATTAGCTTGATTATGGTGATCATTTCACAATGTACATATATCAAAACATCCAATTGTACACCTTAAACATATACACTTTTTACAGGTCAGTGATATCTCAGTAAAGCTGAGGGGGGAGGCACTTCCCTGGTGGCGCAGTGGTTAAGACTCCGCGCTCCCAATGCAGGGGGCCGGGTTTGACCCCTGGTCGGGGAACTAGATCCCACATGCGTGCCGCAACTAAGAGTTCACGTCCCGCAACTAAGGAGCCCACGTGCCGCAACTAAAGGAGCCCGCCTGCTTCAACTAAGACCCAGTGCAACCAAATAAAATGTGTATGGGGTCAGGGGGGAAGAAAGAAAGAAAGTTCTCAAGTGTCATCAATATGGCCAGTCCTGGTCAGATTAATTACTGGAGGAGAAGTGTTATTCATTATTCATTTCTCCAATTATCTATCTAAATATATTTACTACTCTATCTAAATATATTTACTTACTATATTTCCATTCCTGGTAGGGATATCACAGGGGCAAGACAGATGCGGTTTCCGCCCCAGGGAGCGGGCAAACTTTGGAGAAAGGCACGGCTAACCTACACAAGGCAGCTACAAAAGCGAACGTTCAGACCCTTCCAAACGCCCGTCCCAATAATTCTCCACCTAGGAATTCATGCGAAGGAAATAAGAGATCATCAGAAAGGAGATTAATGTGCAAGCGTCAACACGAGTATGATTTGTAACAGCAACACACAGGAAGCAACCTAAAAACTCATCATGAGGGCAATGATTATATAAATGATTAAAGTCTTACTCTGTGTGAGATATTAAGCGGTCATCAAAACCACGATTTCAACAAATATGTAGCACCGTGAGAAAATGCTTACATCTTAACTGAAAGAACAGACGTCAAATCTTGATTTAAGTTATCCCACATCTGTTTAAGATATATTTTCAATAGTAGATATTGTATATATGTAATATATATACATCCATAAATATGCATATGATACATTCACTTTCATAATATAGACCTGGGTTTCCTCCAGATTGCATCCCCATAGATCGGGCAGGATTCGGATCAAAGACAGAGGAGGAAGAGAGATGACTTTGAAGGAGGCTCATCCTAAGGAAAGTTTTAGCTGTTGCCGCCACCAAGGGGCAATTTGTATTTTGACAATGTCAAGCAATGCAGAAACGCCATTCCAGATGAAATTTAAATTATTTTTTGGTTGGTTTATTTCCCCTCTCCAAACCAAGAAGTTAAATTCTTGGTGAATTTACCCATAAATTAATTGGCAACGAGGCAAGTCTGTCTTCCACAGCCTGACAATATCCTTCAGCAGAGATGGGTGGGCATACAGCCGACCAGATTTGGGAAGAAAGAGGTTCAAATTTTACCTTCTCATAAAATCTAGGCGAAGCCCAAGGCAAGTTTTAAATTCTGACTTATTTACAGATGTGGAAAAGGAAATTAAAATAAAGGCAAAGTTTAATATGCTCTGTTTCCACTGTGGACTTGTTCTATTTTTTCATTATCATTTATATCGATATTTTATACCTCTCAAAAATTGATTTACAAGAAATTTAAAGCTGAGCCTTCTCTCTTCTTTATTATGGCCAAAGCCTGCATTTTATCTGAAATGACAGTGTGAAGTTTACAATCCTGTCCCACCATAGCTCAAGCAAAATGCAATACAAATTTTGTCCGAAGGCTTATACGGAAAGCCATAAACATCAGCTGGCAGATCCTCATTCTGTCCTCAAACCAGATGGCCACAAACTATGACACCCAAATTTAGAAGCATTTTATGAAGACGAGAGACTGTCCTTAGACAGACACCCGGGGTCTGAGAAACTAACACCCCTACCTTTAGCCCCCCAATGTCACATAGTGGCACCATTCTTCTTCCCGTTGGCAGGTAGACCGTGTGGCCAGAGCTCTGAACGTGAAATGAGGCCCTATTCAGTCTACTGATTTCCTAGAGGGCTTTTCACCACCCGACTAAATGAGGTGGGTCCTGAGAGCAGAAAATGAGGACGTTTTGGGCTTCCCTGGTGGCGCAGTGGTTAAGAATCCGCCTGCCAATGCAGGGGACACCGGTTCGAGCCCTGGTCCGGGAAGATTCCACATGCCGTGGAGCGACTAAGCCCGTGCACCACAACTACTGAAGCCCGCATGCCTAGAGCCCATGGTCCGCAACAAGAGAAGCCACCGCAATGAGAAGCCCGCGCACCACGACAAAGAGTAGCCCCCGCTCGCCGCAACTAGAGAAAGCTTGCGCACAGCAACGAAGACCCAGTGCAGCTAAAAATAAATAAATAAATAGAAAATGAGCACATTTTAGTGAGGCCCAGCTGCAAAGGGCTTCTCGTCACTGCCCCCCTTATTAGCCAAGAAGAAAATCAAGTGCAGGTTCACCAAGAGCACAAGGTGCTCCAGACTGATGCCCTGTGGTTAAAGGATGCTCTGATCGGCAGATGGCTCCGAGGAAGCCCCAAAGAGAACTTCGGGGGGAAACTAACAACTTCCCAGGATGAAGCAACTCCCAGGGCGCTGGGAATCCCGGCAGGGACTCTGTGACCCAAAGTGCGTGGATGGACATCACTGCTGTGCTTGGCACGCAAAAAATACTCCTGGGTCGTGCCTTTGTCAGGAGTGGAGGGACCTGTAGCTCCAAGATAATGCAGCCCACAGACTCACAAACCTTTCCACTGCCATCGCCAGCCCTACCTGGAAGCTGAGTACCAGTCTTGTGGCTCCTGGTCACCCACCTGAGGGTCAAGGCCTGTGACATGTCTGCAGCAGAGTCTCTTCTCACTCCCACAAGACAACACGGACGTGCACAGCCAGGAATAGAAGGCTCTCCTTCCAGTGGGCCAGATGGCCAGGTCTTTGGAAACCATCAGCAAGAGAAATTGCTCACTGGTCTGTCAAAGGGTGGTCCTGAAGAATAGCTGGTAATTTACTGCCACCATCTGGGCACCCCCATGTCCATG